TTTTTTGTGATGCCCAGTACATACTTCTGATGTTGAATGATTATATTCTGGTGAAGTGCTGTTTCCAATAGCCACATATTCAATCACACCTTTTTATGAAAACACTCAGAAAGAAAAATATGTCTTTGCTAACCAGAAATATGAAGTTTTGGAAGTTGTCTCCCCATATACAGTATATGAGGAACAAACTGACTTCTATGATTCAGTAGCAGAATAAAACAACTCAGAAGTTTATTCAGAAGCTCAGCTGACTTTGCTATGGGAATGAAACACTTTCCAAAAGTGTTTTCATCCTTTTTTAAGAGCAATTTGGGGTGAAACCATTCTTAAGGAAGTTTTTCATTAAAAAAATTAATGACTTTACAAAATTGCAGACAATCTCAGAATGAGAAGAAAAAATATCACTATTCTTTTTTTCAAAGGCAATATGCAATAAAGTAAAATCCATATGATATTTTTTCTAATACGATTCAAAAGCCTGCGAGCACCCAACCCAAAAGCCAGTGTTAAATTGCCTCTCTAAGTCGATAAAATGGACAAGAGACACATTTTCTACCTTTTAAATTAAAGTTCAACTTCTATTTATGCGAGTACAGCTGAAAGGCACAATGGCTTTAAAATTAATATCCACAGAATTAAAAAAAGGCATTACAGTAAAATGCCACAGCAATAATGATTTTCTTAAGTGGAAAAATAGAGAACTTTCCATTAATGTAAATTTTTAAAACCACAACAATGTCTAACAGAAAACTATAGATTTGCACAATGCATATACTGTATTTTTATTGATTTGGCCTTAGTTCTGTACTCAGTTTACACTTAGTTCTCCTTTCTGTGGATTATTTTAAATTAAAGACAAAAGTGTTTTAAAGCAAACCTATTTTAGTCTTTTATTTCACTCTTTTATTTAAAAATAAAATGAAACCAAACCAACATCTTTTAAGGCAGAACATTTGTTTTTCAAAGTATGTCTTAGTTATTGCAGTTTCATGGCAGAAATATGAAAAATGCTATTAAAAACTGCCACATGTTATTGTGTATTGGGATAATCACTTACATTCTATCATATTAAGATGTGTTCCCAATAGTAAAACTGCTGAACCAAAGGATAGTACTCCCTTTTTCTCCCTTTTGTTCCTGTTGAAGTCTAGATGAAGCTACCCAACAATGTTGCTAAAGCTGATCCCTGCCCAAACTACTCTCAAGAAATGAGTAAATAAAATCCTTGGATCGATTAGATACTAGCCAACATGGACCAAATTCCTCCTCTTGTTTGTAACATCGTAATTGTTGTTACTGCTTTTTCGTTAAGAGGAATCCTCCATCCACAAAGTCTTGTAAAACAAAACAAAAATAAATGTACATACAGGTTAAGTACAAGAAACAATCATGCAGGAAACTATAAAATAAAAATAAATTTATAAAATGACAATGACTTAGAACAAGCTGGAGAAGCCACAGAAAATGAAGATGAAAAGGTGGATAACCCTGCTGGTATGTATTCCATATTTTCAGTGAATGAGTGCTATTAGCATCTTTTAGTACCAGTTAGAGAATTAAAAACATTAGTGCAATACTGTGCAAGCATTGCTGAGGAATATAGTTGAGAGCTGGAGGATCAGTGGTACTAAGCAGACAAGTCTCAAGCAGGTGCCTAAAGGCGGTGAGGGACTGAGCTGTGTCAATTTTGTGACGCTCATTTCACCAGTGAATGAACAGGCAGGGGGTACAGACAGCCTGGGGGAGGAGGAAGAGCATGGAATGCAGGAAGGGGTGTTGGGAGAGATAATTCACGCAGGAGCAGAGTGGCTGAGACAGCAACAGGTGAGAAATGGAGATCTGAACTGGGATGTGTGCCGTAATGGTGAAGGACTGGAAAAAAACTAAGCAGCAGAAGAAAAGACACGATGAGCCGTAGAATTCTTGATTTCACAGCTTATGGATTTTTCATCAAGGATAAGAGTGATGTTCAATAAGAGAAGTTAAGACAGCTAACTAAAGAGATGTTAATTCAAAGACTCTAAATGCACAACTGCTGAATCCAAGATGGCATGGAAGGGAATGCTCATACTGCAATTTCATCAAGCACAAAATAGCAAAAGGATACTTAAAATGGATACTGTGTGCACTAAGTGTTAAAATTATGGTACATGAAAAATCTGCAATTATAATTAAAACAGCTTGGAGAAGTCCCCGGCTTAGTCTTTGTGTTGCATAGAAAACTGCCAATGAGGGAATATCCCCAAAGCAATACTTCTGCATTAAAAGCTGGAGCTCTGAATAATGGAGAAAAAAAACACCCAAAACGATAGCAAGCAATGTAATCACATCTCCGGGGCTTTGCTATAATGTCCTCTCAGATTTATCTAATGGGAACTGGAAAACCCAAGGAGGTGTCATTCCATGAGCCAAAACATGCGTTTCCACAAGCTTCTTTCCTGCAGCACTTGTCAGGGCCTTTACTTTCATCATGTCCTGAAGCCAAATCACTCCGTGTTTGCTCACAGCTGTGTGCTACACCACAAACAGGACACTTCAACTTTCAAATTTTGCCATTTGGCATTTACTTGAAACAATCAAGAAAACTATGAAAAAATATTTTGCACAGCACAATTTGAAGAGGACATCCTGATTTCAAGCCTCACGAGCAACTCCTGAAAGATTACATTAGCTTACCTAAGGAGCAAGTTAAACAACCCCACTACGATGTTCTTTTCCGTCAGAGAAGGGAACATCCCTTTTCAGTTTATACATGAAAACTCTGTTGTCCAGCTCAAGTGAAGCCAACAGTACCAAAACCTTTCCAGTTTTGTTTTCTTAGATTTGTTTGAATGTATGTTTATCATCTAGAATTCATAACGAGATTACTAAGAAAGAAAGCCTTCTAATTATGTGTGCCTGTGTAGAAAGTCACATAGGCTGAAAATGGAAATATTCCTCTAGAGGAAAAAAAAATCATCTTTCTTTTTCATGCATTAATCTTGTACAATAATTCACTATTTTTAGTCTAATGTATTTTTAATGTAAATGTTATTCATAATCAACAACAGTTACCAAGCAGAGGTCCTGGCTGCACTATTCATCACTACCTTTACAAGAAACAATTGTAGAAGCAAGAGCTTCTACATGCCTGTTTGTTTCCCAATAAATAGGAGACCAAAGATCAATTACAGAGTTACCAATTAAATAAGCTGAGTTAGTCTTGCATGTAGAAATATAATAGTCACATTTTCTTCTTTGACATGGGCAGGTTTATTATTGCCAAGAAGTGACAACAGCATCACTATGCATTCTACTTCAATACATCATTTAGAAAATGTAAAACACCATGGCAGGTTGTTCATGACATATTTAATATAAATGCGATACATGGTCTATTAAAAAAGACTTTAACAAGACTGTTTAATTTTTTTTAAAGGTTGAGATTTGCATCAAACTCCTGTCCCACTTCAGTCATTTACATGTATCTAGGAGTCAACATCATTACTCTTTTAAAGGCCCCTTCATCACATTTCATGACTCAACTCTGCTTAATTAATCTGACAGAGTTGCTGCAATCAAAGGAGTAAATTATGTAGCCCTGCATCCCTCTTGTAATAGTCTATCTCATCTACACAGTGTGTGAATGCTCATTTAAAAGGGGGTCTAAAAAATAAAATATTGTTGCTTCCCTGTATTAATTTAAATTTTAACTCCATGTTGATTGGTAATACACTGACAATTCAAAATACTTTTTTTCAGCTAACTGCAGCTTTAACATTTTTCACTCCCCCTACCTCAGTGCAGTTCATTTGTCAGTCACACATGCAAAGTAATGTCCTAATTAGTTTTCACTAATCAGATTGTTTTGTGGGCAATTGACAACTGTGGAGTCACTATCTTCCGTGCACAAAACAAATTGTCCACTTTCCCTAGAAGCACAGCAGATTTATCAATAGACAGAATAATGCACTAAGTCTATAGATAAGGTGTAATTACAGATCCTGTCTATACATTGTTTTGGGGTTTTTAACCTAGCAAAACTCAAAAGAATAAGAAGCCAGAGGTTATTATTTTTATGTGAAAAACACTGAATAATATTATTCAATGAGAAATAATTAGGGACTCCTGGATTTACAAATAAATCTTGAAATTAATTTTCCACAGAACTGCAGTATTCATAATTAAATACTGGATGTTCTGCAAGTGCTTCAGATGAAGGCTTTTTAGGTAATGGATCAAGACAGCCTAATTCTGCTGATGCAATAACCATTTGATACAGCCTTTCTTAAACACTACATTGAAAGACCTGCAGCCTTCACTATACCTTGCTTAATTCTGTGCTCTGAGGAGCAATTCCTGGGGAATGCATGGACATTTGTGGTTAAATCATTTAAATTTCAAATAGTAATTCACAGAAATCTGCTTTTGTTTTGGTGTGCAGTAGCCAACTTGTCAGCACAGGTTGAAGGTTCAAGCCATCATACTTTAGAGAATGTTAGGTTTGACAGCTAGGGCTATAACATTCTGGCTCAACAATAAACAGGTGCAATTCGGTCTGCAAGTGCTTCTTGATTAGCAAAAGGGCAAAATCCTAAAGCAGTATCTGGAGACTGAAGCATTTCATTATTCATGGAAAACTGTCAGGCTTTATACATTTTTTAAACACCCATCACTTAAAATATAGCAGATAAAGTGCAATTATAACAGACATTCTGTAAGTAAAATAAATATTTAAATAAATAAAATAAAGATCATTGAGACCCCAAGGCGTGGTGGCAAAGTAAAAGATTAATGCTTCTCTTTGCCAAATATAGCTCTGAGGGACAACAAAAGTCACTTTTTCTCCAAAGAAACATTCATAAAATAAAAACCCAACGAGTCCCTGAGGCTAGAACTCAGAAAAAAGGAGGAGAGAGAGAAAAAATGAACACAAACACCAGTGCACTAGAGGAGGCTGAGTTCATAATCTCCACCACCAGAGACCCCTTCACGTGTCAGGCTGACAAAGTCTGTCTCACCTGAATAGGCCCAGTAGGGGAGTCCAGCCACTCTCCTGTGTCGTATCCGAGCAGTTCTTCCATGCTCCACTCCTTGTAAAGATCCAAGCTGACCTTCTGTCAGAGCTGATAAAATTGAAAATTGTATTAGACAAGTAAATGGTATAGCATTTTAAATTTTAAATAAAAGCCAACTAATGTATTTAAACATAAGCAAGAAGAGGTGCTGCTTGTGCTAATGTACTGTAGCAGCTCAGTCAATGAACCTTTATTCATCACTTAAATCTATCAGGACATTAACATGCTGAAACACACTAAAAGCTCTGCTCCGCATCCTCTGATGCTCAGACAGCAGTGTGTTTACAGTGGCACTTCTCACTTAGTTTCCACATCAGACAATTAAAAAACATACACAATTAGATTGACATAATTTCAATTTGAAATTTGCAGGTTATAAATTAAAAAAATGAGTTTTACATAACTGAAATGAAATTAATTTAACTGCGATTTGTCTTGGGCTGTATCCTAGCCGTTTACATCTTAAGCTGTATGCGCCTATAAGACAAAAGAGAAGAAAGGGCCGCAATTGTCAGATTGGATCACGAACAGTGCTCACTTGGGGGCGTCGTGATTCGATAGGGAATGAAAGCACTAGGCTGGAGTCGCTTGAGTCAGCTTCACCACGCGGGGAGTGGAATCTGTGGTGGCAGTACCTAGGGTTACTGCCATTCTGGATTTTTCCTGCCCACATATGACCCCCTGCAGCCATGGGGACAAATCAAGTTACAGGTGACGAAACGAGAACAAACAGGCTGCAAGGGAACTATGCTGGTTCAGGCAGCTTTGATTACATCTGTTAACTGCTCTTAAAAGAAGAGTCCATTTCACAGTAGGAAAAAAAAACCTCACAAGCACAAACAAAAGTTTTTACTAAGTAAGGCTCTTAACTTTGGTAACAAACTGCACATTTGGAACAGTATTCAGTTTATAAATCTATACTAATGAATAGATAGGAATAATATGCCTTTGAAGATTTGAACACTGACCCATACGTGTAGTTGTCATGATTCAGATGTGGGCGAAATCTATTTCAGACAAAACATGTCTCAACAGCTCTACCTACAAAAAGGTATCATCACCAAGTACAGCTAGGTAAAAAAAACACCTTAAAATTAATAGGTTCCTATGTGCAGGTGCCTGATCTTTTGCTTGTAGCTGTAACTGCATTCTCTCAATGACAAGTTTTTTTTTTCTTGGTTCTTTGGTATATCGGCTCTGACTCCACCATGAATGCCAATGAAGGCTCACTCTATGGCTTTTCTATGAATTACATTATTGATTCCCAATATTCCTTGAACAGAAAATTAAATTATGCAATACCAAGCTGTATTAAAGATCCTGCCCTAGCCCAAGTCACTCCAACTGCACGCCTGTGGGTTTTCTTGCTCACTTTGTTTCGAAAGTATTAAAATGGACTGCATCACTACATCCTGACTTGGCTCATCTTCTTCTTCTCAACAGACACCTGTCTGCTTGGAATTCTATTTCTTTTCACGTGCAGCAAATATTAGAAGAAACAGAGTTAACCGAAAAGGAGTCTGCTACAGAAGTGTTCATTAAAAGTCAGTAGCATTAATTCTCAAACTTCAACCCAAGTTAAGGTCAACCAAAGCAATTACAGTGTTCCAGAGCTGATGCTGTGGAATATTAATTCTTTAAACACTAACAGTGGGCATTCTGAAAGGTTTCCAGCTCTGTCCCTGTTACACCCTGTGCAATAGCTGCATGGTACCAAGGCGCAGTGGGATGAAACGAGTTCTTTTTGGATCACACAGCTATGCAACTCAGCAGGCTTTCAGAATGATAGTTGTCAGGCTCATACGATTACCAACAGAACACTGCTTGGCAACAAGTCATTACTGGTAGCCAAAAGGAAGGATGTGCTCTCTGAACAGAAGTCTACTGTATGCAGTAGAGGATGAGGTATAAGCATTTCTTTTGCCATGTATAACTGTGGACGAGCCTATATAGCTCTGCTGCAGCACTGCATTGCAGAGTTGTACTGATTGCACAGCCAAAAAATATTCTAAAATCCTAGAGGTAGAGAGTTTGTCTGGTGGCATTCAGGAAAACATAAATGAGTTTTGAGCATTAAAGCTTTCAATTTAGCCACAAGAAAATATAACTTAAAAAAGTCAATAATCAAAGAATTACAGCCTTTAAATTATTATGTTGTAGAGGCATACAGCAACCACTGTAAAAGGTAAATATATGAAAAGAATGAGCCCTATAATGCAGGCAAAGTTTTCATATTTCAAAACTTCAAACCCACAGATTTGAGAGACTCTTTGGTATCCTAATACAGATTTCTATTAAAGCTGATTATGACTAGCTGTATACAGTATATAGGTTAAAAACAAAAATGAGCAGCATGACTCTCCATTAACTGTCCAGAGTGGGACTTCCTGCTAATCTCTTTTGCCATGCCTCCACACAGCACAGATAGCAGGGACTGAAGGGGACTGTCCTGGTATGGGATGAAAGGTAGAGTTATAGGCAACCTGCTGTAATTGAAGACTGCCAATTGTGTCGATTCAGCGTCATTTCAGTCCAGTGTTGAGTGCACTTACGCACAATAACCTGGACCCGAGCCAGATCAGGCTCCTTCTCAATAATGACTAAGTCTCAATCAATTCAAAAAATGTTTACATTGCCCTGCTGTGAGGCACTGTAGGCTACAGTAGCTTCGCACACAAAATACGTCATTATACCCACTTCAAAAGGAACCAATTATTCTTTATTATGGCTCATCTTAATTTTTTTTCTAAGTACAAAACTCATCCTTCTGCAATATAACCTACAAAAGGCCTATAATCAAGTACTCTTCAACACTGCTCCTAGATGACCTTGTCCTAGACCTTCTTCTTAATTAAGCTGAGCAGAAATTAATACACAAGTCAAGCAGAAATTAATACACAAGTTAAGAAATACTACTTCAAGAAAGATGAAATTTTAAATATATTTACTTTGCAACAAAAATAAAAGTGATCGGTGATTCAAAGGGGTGTAAAAGAGAGTGTAAAAATATTTTGGAATATATCTAAACACCATTTCAAACACCTTTATCATCTGAAAAACTATATTAGCATACCCCATACATACAACCCTGACTATAGAGTACCCCAGTCCAGTTTTCACAGGATATACTGTAAGAACAGACGGATATCTACTATCCCATACAAACAAACATAAAACCAAGCCTGACAAAAATGAAGAGATGGTTTACACATACTTCACTTCAACGACTTTACATCTATACCAACTTCTCACTGTCAAGGATTTTAAATATATATTTATGCAGGTACATGTGCATATAGATGAATACATGTACTTACACGCACGGCCTGCAGTCATTAATCAGCGCAGTCAAAAAAATTATTGTACTAATTAAAATGCATTGCAGAATCTGGTTTTCATACACTTAACCTTCATTTTTTTTGTAATTCCAGTAGAAAGACAAAGCACTCATACACAAAACTGACTGAAAGTAGTCCAGGGCAATCCTTTCTCCTGTGATAGGCTTTCATTAGCATTCCTTACATCCTCCTCCAATATCTTCTGTTGAAGGACATTTCTGTATTGACACACTTAACACATTCAGCTCTATATACATTGGAAATTCATCCAAAGTAACTGTTGTCAGCACTAAACAAAATAAAGGGTCACAGGCCATTTAAGTTAACATTGCTCACTTACTGGCTGATCTAACATTAAGAGTCCCACGTCTAAACCATGTCTTAGTGAGGCAATGCCCAAAAATATAAAATGAAACGTAATAACTATTCTAGGATTTTTACAGTAGTATCCAGTATATCTAAAGTCCATCTTGAAAAAAATATTTTATTTACTACAGTATGTTTGACTAAATTAATCTATGTGCTGTAAATAATGCATGTGCTTAGAGCTTGGAGCTGCACTGGCATGGAATTAACCTCTCTTTGCTAATTTGTAATATTTTACAGAGAATTATGTCTTGAACATCTTGATAGATGAGTACAAACAGGGAAATGCACAGTTAATCACCACCTGAACTTCAATGCACTACTGCAATTCACAAATGAAAAATCCATACTGAAGTATAAATATAGATTTAGAAAATATATAGAATAATTCTCCATTCCATGTATTAAAACGTCACTTATTTTTTCTGTGTTCTTTTAATCATTTTACTGCTTTGATTCTCTTGTGAATGTGCTTTTTAATAGGTTCTGCAAAGCTGACAAGGGGACTACTCAGTTCTAGAAATGGTAAACTATTATATTTAATGAAGGTTTGTTGCATTGTCAATAAAATCAATGAGGGCTGAGCCCATACTGAATGTTATTAAAAAGTAAATGAGGAAATATAATATATGTTCAATAGGATAGTGGTAAATAGAGGATTTATACAAGACTCCCCAATAAAATGTACTTACTTCTTCAGGAATGAAATGGAAGGGATTATAAGGAGCTGCACTGATAATAAAAAAGCTTAAATCAAAACTTAGATGGTTTGAACAGCCACCTCTCATTCGTAACGATTCTTGAATATCTTTCTTTCAGCTTCACAAAGTAAAGTGACATTACAACGTAATACATTATTTAGTGTCATAAAATACGTCTCCTATTTTTTGAAAAATATTACTTTCTCCTTAAGGAGCTGTGGGAACCAAGCTCATATTACAGTAAAATGAGACTCCACATCAAAAGATGGGATTTCTGCAATGGCATCAGTGTTTAACAAAATAACGTCACTAGAATTATTATGTTTGGTACCACATTCTATGAATCCACAAAAGACTTACTGAATAATTCAAATAAACCATCTTCCCTTTCCAGTGAGATACAAAATAGTCACTCTGGTTCTCATTGATCATATTACCATTTTTAACAAAGATCTTAACTGAACACTTGAAATTTAACTTCTATAAATTGGCAAATTCAGAAGAAGCGACTATTAAGGTGGGGAAAAAAAGAGGCCAGAGCAAGAAGCCAAATTTAGCCAGAGTGCATTAACATTTCAAAACAATTCAAAACCGGATATATACTTTAGGAAGTGTGCAGTCCTGGGGGGGCGCAGTCCAGTCA